AAGCGTTTTTAGAACTCTCTTGAAGAAGGCTTGCATATACCTAATTTTTATCATTGAAGTTTGATTTCTCGGGAGTTCCATTAACATGAGGTGGGGAATCGGAATGAAAAAAATTTCAGTCCGGAATTGATTTTGAATGTTTCTGACTCCACCCGGTACCACGTGAGCATGTTCAACTGTTCAACTGAACCAGAAACTTTCGCTTACTCATCCGTTTCTTGTCTTTTGTGGCGGAACTACACTCAAACGTAGCGATTCCGATGAGAGTTCACCTATATTCTCGGAAACGTATAACTAGCTCTCTTTAAGTTGATAGCCTAAATTATACTGCTAAATGCATTTATTTATACGTGTCATAGTCTTCTATAAGTTCGAATAATATATTTACTATAGGAAAACAACTACACTGTCGGTTCTATATTATACGACATAACTTATACAATGATATAGAAGAACTGGTATAAAATTTTATTTGAATTTTATGTGGTTTTACAATTTACATGTAATCATAACAATTTATTATTCGTTAAATATTCGATGACTCAATAATGGGTGTTGTTTTTATGAAGATATTCGTTACAAACTCAAGCTCTAGCTAAGATAGAAAAGACCTTTCCTGGTTCGATGATCTGATTGGACACATTTGTAATAAAAAGTACAGATTTTCTAATCAACACAAAAATGATAATTACATTAGTGACATTTGAGCTAATTTGGAATATTTTTTAAGAGGTTAAAATTCCTGTCTTGTATACTTTTTTTTTTCATTTGTTGTCATTGCCAACGGTATTTCATCTTTTTCTCATGAGTGCTCGTGCTGTGGCTTTGTTAAATTTTGTTAGGTCAAGATTTACTTTGCGCCCAAGCTTAAACAAAAGAGCAAAGTCATGATTATATTATACCTAATATACAAACTTTGTGTGTGTTCTCGGCAACCAGACATGCGTAAAGACAGTTATTCTTATACCAATAAAAAGGGTCAAATTGGGGACATAAAATTGTAACTTATTAAAATAATTCCCGTATATAATTATGACAAATAATGTTATCCAAAACATTGAAGACGTCGTATAAATTTTGAGTTTTCGAAACCATTCATCGTAAACCATTGTAAATTTTATCGTGCCGAGGCGTGGAAACAATGCGGGTGATATTGTAAAATTACACCGTAAATCAGCAATAAACGGTTTTCCAACATCCAATAATCATTAAAAATACTTCAATTTGTTTGTTCATATATTTATTTAAGCTTTAAAAAACAGCTTATATGATAATATTCAGTCGCATTCACCATTCCCATAACTGAAGCTTTTTAGGTATATCGATATAACTATCAGAATTTTTTTAGCATGACTATAATTTTATTCTACTAGTATGATAGCATGATCAATTATTTAATTTTGAACGAAAATCACAATACGGCTATATACTTCTTAATAAACTTGGTTTTTAAATGCGAATATTCAGATGATATAGAATTTTAATGTATAGTTGTTGTTTTTTTTCTGCATTTTTCTGCAAAATTTGCATTTGTTACGAAATAGATTAGGCTATTCACAATAAAGAATGAAAAATGAATTCTCAAGTAAATTCATTAATGGAAAGCGTGAATTATAAGTAAATTTTATAAAATCTCAACTTTTCAAGAAAAGACTTTTATTTGGTACCGTGCATTCTTTAGCATGCGTCTAATAGAAAAACAGAGACGAAGTTTTTGTCGGGAATTCCACTTATCTAACAAATATTCTCGTTTCCGGGTAAAGTCAAATTTATTTTTTCTAACGAGTCAAAATCAATATTACACAAATCAAGTGCAAAAAAAGCAAACAGTTTTTTTCTGGGGAATGGAAGCCGCTAGAAATCAAAGCTGATTATTAACCAAGGTTCTAATATCTAATTTGAAAGATCAATGATGTGTCAATAATCAATGTCATCACGAAAATTGCTAAGCTGGTTATAAATCTTTCAAAAATCCAATGAGTAACATGATGTATTGCCCACTTCAAAACTCCGCGGTTTGACCACAACTCCTAACAGTCAAAGCTTAGAATATATGAAAATTCGAATGATATAACGATTACGTTGCGATTACATCGACTCGTCAGAGATGATTTACCCTATAACTTGACTAGGTTAAGCATTGTCAAAGAATAAGTTCGTTTCCATGGTGGAAGACCAACGAATGGAAAAAATTAAAACGTCACAATAGATTACAATGTGGCAATCGGTGACGTATGTCCAATGTTAACTTAAGTTCGCTCCATAGTAACGGGGAATACCTACTACTAAACCGTTAACCGACAAAAACTAAACTTCATTTCATTTAAAAAAAATCGACATATTATCGTCATATTTATTGAGCCATTCGTTAAAATGTAGATAATAGTACTATCGGTGATGATGGAGACATTATATATAATTATTAAAATTTGATGTTAAATTCCAGTTGCATCATATTGAATATTTAATCAGTTCTATATTCAAAGATAAATTTTTTTTAACAAAGCACAAGCTTTTGAACGTGCCATCTTGTCAACTTGGCGAGCGATCGTACTTCAAACAACAAGCAGTCTGGGCAAAATATTTTCAGATCACAAATAGCTTAATTAAAGAAAGAAAGCGTTCAAAACACATTTAATAGCTAAACCCCAGCTTAAGTTCGACTAGTACTCTAATTGCACGACCAATACTTGAAATTCAAAGCAACAGTGATGTAACCCGTAAAGCAATGTCTGAATGCTTTCAAGAACCCGTTCGGCGTCGAAACGACTAACCTCAATGTTTTTATTGGCAAAACCGACAAATCGTTTCCTAGAATTGCGAAACCACATCACCTTGGTTTGGTTGATGACAGAAACACATTTCCTGAAACATTTGTTAAAGACGATTCGTCTCTTACAAATAGTAGTCGTTATTATGGTTTGACGTCATGTATAGAAACACATTTGTTATGATGACAAAAGGAAAAAATTACCATGGGAAAAAATGGCATTCACTCTTTATGATTAAATCCTAGGCGACAGGTATGCATTTTTAATCGTTTCACATCGAAACGAACCACTGCGCATGCAACATACAAGATGTACCATAACGCAATGATTGGGAATCGCAAAGTTTCAAGTATCCATAAAATATAACCGCCAGAGGCTACAATGTGATCCTGGATTAAAGTGCTCAGGTCCTAAAACACTCAGGAATCTATTCCCAAATGATCCTACTAGTTTAGTTCCCAAATGCGGTCATGATTTGAGAGGGCCTTGTTTCTTCATTGTGAACCTGATCCAGGCACCAAAATTTATCACAAGCCCTTATGCAATAAAAAACGCCAGAACCCACAGTATTAAAAAGCATTAAATATACCCACGACAACTATTTAGTATTCATTGCTTAGGATAAATTTGAAATGAGTCATTTATCTAACTACGGTACTTCCTCCAATGGCAAATTTCACTCAAATCTGTACAAGAACACCAAGATTAATTTAGTCATCTCTGGTTTCAGATCGAACAAAAAAATACAAAAAAAATGCCAAGTCAGAGTTGATTGCTTAGGATAAATTTATAATGTCTATTTTATATTAATAAACATTCAAATCCGAGCTCGGTACTAACAACTCACTAATCGGACGTGGTTACCTAATATATAAGTGGTCCAGCCAATGACGAACTTTCACCTAAATTTGGACGAAAACACCAAGATTTCTTTAGTCACCTCTACCTATTAATCGAAAACAAATAACAAAAAAATTGCTAAGTCACTATCAATATAAGGTCACAAATTAGCAAAGAAAACGAATGTTACTCAAAACAAATTGAAAAGGATGGCGATTCCACTCCTAAATATATTTACGACAATTGTTCTTCGGACTATGTAAATATCTGAAACACGATTCTGCACGGTAATCTGTCAAGTCAATGAATGTCACTATATTTCAACTATAAAATAATATTTATTTTCAGTCTAGTTTCAGAACGTCGAGTAATTTACAAATATAGTGGTCTTAGGATCTTTAATGTGGTATCTTTTAGCTTTTAGAGAATAAATTAAAAACTTGAGATAGAACACCATAATACAGTGACTATACCCTGTATTATTGTCTTTTAATTTTGCCCTTCCTTAAATTTATATATATTATTGATAATTGTAATTTTACCAAACTAAAGTATTGAATTAATCCAAACAATCTTAAGGAAATTACATAATTTTAGATTGATTCCGAAAATCTCATATCGCCATTAAACATTTTCTGAATACGGATACATATTCTCCGAAATCTTATAAAACTATCCGTCAGGGGCAATAATGAATAAAACTTTATATGAACAAAAAATGACACTGCCTCTAAATAATCTTTTCTTCGGGATTCGTATTTATTGTGAATTTACGGTAGTAAGAACAACTGGAGATTAATAAATGAAAGTTCAAGTTTAACAAGCTTTCCAATAAAGAACCTAATGAAAAATATGTGAGTACAAAAGCGCATTCGTATAGGCGTCAGTATTGTCCGATTCTAATTGTTGGAGAAGCCATATCACAAGTTAGTTTCACTATAGTTTAAATATCCCAACATGTGTTGCAATTTGCCAAACCGGTTTGAACTTTTTTCAAACAAAGTACCGAGAAATATGTACCAAACTCATGGTGCAACATGGGTGGTGACTTATGCCTATGGACATGTTGATTGGTTACAATGACATGTAATTCTCAGAAAACATTATGTATTTTTGATACTTAAGTTTCAAAATGGGGTCATTTTCATCAGTTACGGGAAGTCCGTTGCGGCAAATGTTCCTTTTTTAAAAAACAATTCAGAACATATTCTCACACATTTACATGGCATCCTAAATGTTCGATTAAAACAACTCGATTTAGCTATCTTACTGACGATTTGCAAATTTCGTACATTAAAAATATATTTATATGCAAAATAGTCATATGTCACTTTTTAAAAGAGTAACATCTTATCTACATCACAAGTCATATAATAAGATAATACTAACCTGGTTTATCTAACGTTGGAAATGATGTATTGTCAATGGTAATTCTTGATTGGAACGCTGTATTTCGAACGTTTTCCCTTCAATATTTCATTCCAGGTGAAGATGTATGATCTTCTCTTTCACTTAATCATCGCAACAAAAAGGCTACAACATCTATATATTCAATTCAAACATGTGGTCTAAGAAGTGAAAAAATACGAAATATAAACATCTATTAAATCGGAATATGTAAAAAACTAAGAAATTATGAAATAATACGTAACTATGCCCTCATTATAAGTTCTCGTGTACTTTAAGTGACTGCTCTGCTCGGGATTATTAAAAAATGCCACCGAATGACCGCATCACATATTGTCTTGAATCGTCATCAAGAAGAGACAAGGCAAAGAAACTATATGCGCCAAATATCGATTAGCACAATGCGATTCCATTGTACAGGTATGTCACCCAAGCTCTGTAACCCTATTCATTGTTGAAATCTTATACGTAAGGCTATAGAAAATTGGTGAAATGGTCTTTTAAAAGATTTGTTTCGGGATATGTGAGTTACATGTCGACCAAGCTTCCGTAAATTCTCTCAACTAACATATTTCTCATCCGCTAAGAGTCGAAAAATTTCCTTATCGTAGACTCCCGCATACTGTGGAATCGGACTATATAAGACAAAAAATGCAAGAAATAGGGCAAGCTCGCTGTTTTAGCGATATATGATCAGTAAATGTGACTAACCCAGACAGATATCGCTAGCAAGCCATAATAAGGTGAAACAAATTGATTCAATTTACAAATTTCATAAATATTTGCAATCTACATATATAGACAGTACTGTATATAAATCGAGATTTATCACATTTACTATACACAAAACTAAATAGCAAACGATGTATTCAGCGTTGAGACACGCATATGAGTGCATATTAAACTCTGTGAATAATATTATTTGTATTTAAAATCATGCAGTCCGGCAATTTAGACGGTGCTCGAAGCTCTCGAATTATTGCGCCATTATCAACGACTCGATAAGAACCTCTATTGCGCACTAGTGGCTAATGTATGCCGCGCAAATACTGCTAAAATGCAGTAACTAGCGTATGAATAACAAATCCGAGCAACAAAAGAAGCTACACTGGCACCATTTGAAATTGTTTGAAGATGGCTATTCGTATTTAAAGCACAATTCTTAGCTACAAACGCATTCGACCCTCGACCGATAAATTCCAAGGTCAATATTATGCTTGGAAACTCACGTGACGCTAATAGCATTTGCAGACAAGTTGATAAGGAATGAAACGATAATTTGCAACATTCTGTATTCAATGAGTGCGTAAATATATTGTCGATCTGGCGACAGGAGTTTCGAGATGTGCTCTGCGTACTGGTCAAGTATTCTCGCTACCCAGCCAAACTGGTTACTATTCAACAAGTCCTGGACAACATTAAAGCCGCGCAACGGGTCCTTTGCGACAAACACCTTTCGAAGTATTCAATTGAATGGGCCTGCACATTGCCCTATCCAATCAATGACAAGAATTATGGAGTATGTCTGTAAATACAGATGTACGTTTATCCTGTGCACCGTATTTCAGCATTTACGGTCCCTAACTTGCCGTATATCCTAGTAGACTACTGGTAATGAACAAACCTACAAATATGTGTTATATCCAATCAACGACATACACTATGGAGCAAGGTATGCAAATAAGGTTACTTAGTGCGCCTTGTTTCAGTATTTACAGACACTGCCTTGCCGTCAAGTTGGCCACCGAATAAAACTGCAAATCCACATTCTGACATTATCGTCGACGAACCAAAATTGGCACCTAGCTTCATATAAACATCTTCTCGAACCTGAGACAACTTAGGCTACTCTGTAAGAGTGTAGTTATGTTGGAAAGACGAGCCACATACGAACAACACCGCATATTGCTATTCTGTAGAAAGCTGACACTCAAGCTTGGCTCAGTCGATCTGCGGCGACAACCGCTTGATTTACATCTTCACAGACGTGACGTAGTTATGGTGACACTCGATGGCGCGTAACGACATATTTCATTTTTCAAAAACTTAGATAAGATATTTTCTAAATTCATTTACTTCTTAATTTCACCCTTTTTGTCGATCTTGATCAAACCACCCTCTACTGAACATTGTATAATATATTTAAATGAACGAATAAAAATGGTTCCATTACATTTGAACCCACGTACATTTGAACCCATGACAATTGCACCTGTATGCTATTGCACCTATGGATTTTTTTTTGTTTCACGGATAGTTAAACCCATACTAACCCTAACCCATGGGTTTTAGCACCCGCATATAGATTGAACCCGTGGATATACGAATGGGTTCAAATGTACGGTCACGAAATCTTTTTGTGTCACGGGCTTCACTCAACATGTCAATTTTTAGTACAGTAGGTATGTCTCTGGTACAAAATTGAACTCATAGAAACAGACTATTTTGCTATCCACAGCGGAGTTACTCATTCGGGTAAAATGAAGGAAATAGTTTAGTTATCGACCGTGCATAGTCAGACATTTCACTCATTAGTGCAAATTTACCGGATGACTGTTATGAAATAATTCAGTGTTCTGCATGGTACTGTGTATATTGAATTTTGTGATATTCGTTTACGCAAAATTCAAGTGAGACTCCTCACATGTAAATCTGCGAGACCGACCGTAATGCGCAAGAGTGCGCCAAATTCGCAAGATGATGCCCAGTGCAAAATTTCACCAAAAGCTTGCGTTCTTAGAATAAGTTTTTTCTTCTGTGATAAACTTTACTCCACCATTCCTTTAACTATGAGCCCCTTTTCTCTCCTAACGTAGAGACCTAAATTTTTCTTAGTAGCACTGTACATATACAAGTCTATCCTCATTCATAATTATAACCCTATAGTTTTGATATGCTTGTACCACATAGGTCTGTTTTACCCTTCATTCGCACAAGTATGATAAAGAATCGCCAACTTGCACAGTTCAATAAAACCCTCAGAGAACATGAAAAATATATATTATAAAACATAATCAGCTTATAAAAAAAATTATGTGGTAAAAATGGAAGCATATGTCGACTCGACCACCTCTAACAGCAGCAAAAGACACTACACCAATCTGATATTCTGATCTCCATTCAATTGCTTTCCAATTACTATGAATGCCTGTAATAAATGTAACTATAATAAGCAATAATGAATGGTGACCTTTATTTGATATTATGGAGTTCAGTCCATATAACTGACATTGCAAAACACCACTAGGTAAAAACTAGTTATATTTAACTTTTATCATTTCACTATCACCAACACAATATTTATTGGTGTCTAAACCAGGGGTGTGCAGCAGGCAGCTCGTAGGCCACAACCCGGCCCGCCAAGCCATTCAGTGTGACAACACTCAGATATTTTCCCCATCGAACACAAAATCCTAATCTGACAGGTTTATATTTTTCAAGTCGCTCATATGGTTAAAAATACATAACGTTTTTTTTTGTCATCGCTGCGCTACATCATTCACCGTTTGGCCTGGTGCATTTATTACTGTAGGGCTAAACGATAGCCGCATTTTCTCCTCTTGCATGTGGCCCAGCTAGATTCTGAAGTTAGTTATATGGCCCACCAACAAAAATATTACACACCTCTGGTCTGAACCCGTTCGTAAGTCCTATTCAATTCTTACCTTCCAAATACAACCATTGAAACAAGAGACAATATAAGTTCAATGCATTGAAGTCCTAAAAATATTCCAGTCAAAATCACATCCATCCGCAAGACATAAGTTTGCCAAACAAGAAAGTAAACAACAAGGACAACGGTTGGAACAAGGAGCATAACCGAACCAAGCATTGTCAATGTACGTTCTGTTAGATTCCCTTTAGAAGCTAAAAAATAAGTAAACATCCCTGATTAATGAGCGGCTCATCAGATTAAGTAATATTTGGAAGCGAAAACGAAATTGCAGAAAAGAGGAAAGTATGTACAGCTTGTTTTGAAAAAGCTTGAAATACTACAAACAAAAGTGTAATATGGAATCAAGACATCAATATTTCAGTTCAATGTTGTTATAATACATTGTATAGAAACTGGCTTCTCTGTAATTTTGTCAAACTGGTCACAAACAGAAGTTCAATTTTGTTCAACAATCGATATTTTTTTTTATAAAAGATAGCCAGAGCAGAACTTAGTTTTATAAACTATAATGCTTATTTTAGTCTAGCTTGATTGACTTAAGCGAGTACATATTTTGAATGTTTACATAACAGCATTTTATCAGAACAACTCTTCTCTATAAAACTTCAGAGCAAAGAAAAAATTGTATAGCATTTAAACGAAGTTCAAATTTATATGTACTATTCCTTCATAAATAGAAAACATGATTTCATACCAAAAAATATCCTTAATACTTCCATCCCACATAGTAGAAATAACAATATTACATCTACTGCTAAGTTGTCGCTTGGATAAGTAAGAACTTCGCCCTGAAATAAATGTTCAGTTTTTATACAAAATTGGTTCCGGACAGAGCTGGCAATATGTTATTCCTGGCAAAATCAAACATGACATAAAATTTAAATCTTATTTTTGAAAATTCTATGTGTGATACAGATATTTGTCACCAATACATGATAACTTATTTTGGATAGTTATCAATTTTCATCAAACTCGCATAAAAACATTTGACATGACTAAACAGTAATTCTCAGTATATAGAAATAATTTTACAACTTCTTTGTATATGGCTATACCTTGAAAACAGCTCTATGAAAAAACATCCAAATGAGAGGGGTAACTTCAAAAATTCATTAACTGATCGTCTCATACTAAATCGGCAAATAAAATCATAGCACTCAATTTTATTTCACAACTATAATGGAAGTTGATTGGAAAAGATATAAATGCGGCTGATCAAACTTAAGAATTAGAATGCCCAAGATAGCTTCTTTGATAACACATGAGATCAGAAAACTAGCAAGTAAAATTATTGAAACATACCTTGTAAATGAATAATAATACTTCTCCAATAAAAAATATCAATAAATATATTCCACTTAAATACAAAAGCATCTGCAGCGGAACAGAAGACAAAACTTCCCGACCTGAAAAAGAAGACAGATAGCTCCAGTTATGTTTAAATTAAACAAACAGCTCAAAATTAGAATCAATTAGCTACAATGTTTAAAAAATGGCCTCCACTACATAGTAGAATTACTTTAAGAATATACTACTGGCAAACTAGACGAAGATATAACTTGATATGGCAATTTCAAAATTATCCTGATGAGGGGTTTCATCTGAAAATGCTGTCAGATGCATGCAAACACCTGCTGTCCCAAACATTTGCTGTTAAGCAATCCTGCGATGTCATCCACATCCATTACATCCAAATCTTTTTAGCTCTATAATGCTAGTGAAGTTTTTTTTTATCAGTAAATCAGATTATTTTATACTGCATACTGGCATAGTTGATGATTTTTGGATTTCACCTGTTACTAGTTTAACGCTGAGCTCTGATTTGTAGTTTTTATACTAATATAGACAAACAGCAGTGGCCATACATTTGGTAAAGAAGGAACGGATGATTATTCATAGTCGTAATAAATATCTCTAAACCAGTCGTTCTCAAATGGTGGGGCGTACCCCACAAGGGGGGCATAGACAATTTTTTGAGGGGGCGTGAAGCTAATTAAAAATAACTTACTATCTATTATCTTACGCCTTCATATCGGTTATTTGTGACTTATTGTTAGCTAGTGATTTTTGAGGTGGGGCCCGACCCGAGCATATCAAGTAATTAGAAATCAGTATTATTACTTCATATAAACATTTTAATACGGAAAACATAAATGGCCAATTCGTGTTGAATAATGTTATTTTTCTTATTTCTGTATTTTTCTCTAATTTCATTAATTTACACTAGAAATTTTCAACATGTTTTCAGCTTGGGGGAAAGCAAATTACTGTACCGTTATGTACGGTGACATATTGGGTCATAAACAAGACCCCACAACTATATAAGAAGTTTCTTGCTTAACATACGATTCACTTACCTGCCATTTTTAAACTGACTCACTTGAAACGACACTCAATTTTATAATTTCTCTAAGTCGCAAGAATCCGGCGTCCCTTTGTATCTATGGACAGTACTTTTGTTTTTGTCGCTGTAGCAAAAGAAAAGTGGATTTAGAGCAACTTTACCAAAGACGCCACCATGCGATTGACACCTACATTGACCATAGAGACTTCATAAACCATATATTATATGCTTTCTAGGAATGAGCACTATTCTTCGCAATGTGATACGCAATGATACTACCTCCATTAAAAAGCTTCAAATACCATTTCGAAACAGCCATAGGTCTATATTAGGAATGTTGCAGCCTAAATTCGAGATTTTCTATAAAAAATTGAGCTTACTTCGGCGCGTCAAGCTACTTTAGGGAAATAGCCTACTTGCAAATGAGTTTGTGAGGATATGTGATATATTATGTATTAAGGTTAGAATATTACGGTCGTATGTGAGAGATATCGAAATTATGCAATGAGTGTATTTTCACACCCTCAATCAAGTCTTTGAAAAATATCGCAAATTATAAGTGTCATTCTAGGCAGAAGTGCAGTGATTCAACAGGGAAGAGGCAGCGTATTGATCAGCTCAGGTTAAGATAGGGGTGAAATAAGCCAGTGGGGGGGAATGAAACATAGGAGAGACGAACGAAATTTGATATAATGCAGAAAGGGATGATGTGAATAAAATGGAATGAAAAAATACCGAATACACAAAAAAGTTCTGCTATCCCTGGAGAAAAATATACCTATAAATGTACTACAAAGAATCAATATAAAAAGACGTGGATCAGATGAGCAAACAACATACAATATTAGAAGGAGAATAACGGTCGAATATGAAATGAAAATCCAGAACGAGTTTGCCTATCTCTTTTTCATTACTCTCTTTGCGGTCTAGAACCCCATTACGCGCTTCCATTTCCGTCTTTATTTTCTTTCTCATATCCGCTTAAGCGTTGAGCCGCTTTGTTTCGGTGCACATCCATTTCCGTCTCTACTTTCCCGCTCACACCGTGAAAACTAATTAAAATATTATTGTATTTAATGATAACAGATTTGGTGTGCACCGGTTTGTGTTTCGATATGGTAAGAAATAAATCTTTGTAGTTTTGCAATTTTCTGTTTATATTTGAACTTTTTCTCAAAGTTTTTGTTGAGTGAAAATCGCGAAATTACAAATTTGTTACCAAAAATTAGAACCCTAGTCGACCGCAGTGATTATCACTTTAAAAACTCAATTTGATTTAATTTTCCGTCGTCTATCAAAGTTTTTTTTGATTATCTGCTTCATTTTACTTTCATATTTTTTCTCTTCTCGATCGATCTATCCAACGACTAACCTATCGCAGTAGCCAATACGACATACTTTCAGCTTTTTTGCACATACCTCACCAATACCAAGATTTCACACTTATTTTGAACGTGTTTCCCCTATTCTGTGTGGAAACTTGTTTATCCACCACCTTTTTGTTTCAAAATACTCAAGCAGATGCGTTCAACGATGTCTATCGTGCCTTATTGCTTTGCTACACTGTTCTCTGACTACTGCACATCAAAACTATCCAAAGACAAAAAGAATACTGTGTTACTTGATTTATACTTAAATTTGATAAATGCACGAGGGCAATGTTTGAATTTAAATATATGGACAAGTCGAATAACTACAAGTTGAATGTTCAGAACTGCAGTGGTCCACGCGATATTAAAATTACTCAGTGAGACATTCATTCGATGCACTATTTTGTGATTGCTTTAGAAGTTGGAATGAGTATAATATGCTTATTTAGGTCAAGAAATGCCGACTTAAAATTCCGATCCGCGTCATCTTGATTTGTCGACAATATTTGGCGGAATGGCTTACCTGTTCCTGTTTTTCTTCTTCGCTGTCATATTCATATTTCAATAGACATATGCATTTTATTTGATTAGTCTGCTTTTATCCATACCCGACATGAAATGGTAACCGGACAAAAGGCCGTGGTTCGCCATATGGTTAAGCCGTCGTATCGACTTTCCTCTTCCCCGGGATAAATATGTAAATCCTATTCTATCGTATATACCTTGATCGTAGTAGTATATATTTACGCCTTGACAAATCAGGCTGGCGGACAGGACTTGCCTGGTACACATTCAGTGCAGAATGAATTGTGTTTTTCCAAAATGATAGATAGCTCCTAGCATATTTGTGGTGTCTTGCATAGGGATTTCTTCTGGTCGTATCATGGAAAGTTTGTATTAAAAAAAAAGTAACCGATATTTCGAATTCATAATCTGCAAATCAGGTGATAGAATAATTTGTAATAAAATAAGAAGGCTAAACACCGGTTAGCGGTTACAGAATTAAAGCAAACAATACCTTAGATAAGATATATAACGTGTCAATACTGCTTTGTGAAATCAACGAAACTTTTATCGCTATTCAGTGGACCCTGGTTTAGAATTTAGATAAGAGGCCCGAGGGATTCGTGGATTGTTCCTGAACGCGCACGAACCGATACCATGTCGTTATCTAGAGGCTGTCTTTCCGTAGGAGTACCGTACAGTTCATGATATATATATGATATACAGTTCATGATATATAAAACATTTACAGACTTACGGTACCGGTTTATACCCGACTTGGAATGGTAACCGGACGAGAGGCCGTGGTTCGCCATATGGATAAGCCGTCTTATCGGCTTTCCTCTCCCCCGGGATAAATATGTAAATCCTATCCTATCTCTACCGTTGAGATTAAGAAAAAATAAGATCTTACAAAAAGTGTTTACCGTTTTCTAACTCGAATGCCTGAGGAACAACACTGTCACGATATCAACACCATTCTGCTGTTCTGCCGATTTCTGTATGTTGTAACCTTGACTGACTGCCTCTGGCTTCGCGAGCATGGCATTTCGTATTGAGTCCGGTACCGGTACTGGGATAGCGGTGTTTGTCGTATATCATCTTGCCGGTGTAACTTAATTGTATTATGCGGTACTGTTAGCGGTCTGCCGAAGGTGAAAGTTGGCTGTATGAGTTGCCCAGCTGGTGCGAATTGGGCTATAAAAATAGGCAGTTACCGGTACCGTACCGGTATCATGTTACGGTACCGGTATGCATGCCCTAACGCCAAACAAAAATGTGTTGTTTACGGCAAGTTTCAAACATACTTTCTCGATTATTTTTCTAGAACAGGACTCATAGTGTTCAATTGCAAAAAATTCAATTTGAGAAACATAAGAAATAAACAAAATCAGAACAGAAAAGCCATTTTTAGCTGTAGACTAATTCTGCAAACAACACTGTTGAATGCATGCTTCCCCATTTTGTTTTCTGAGGCCAAATCCCACCTCAGTGATCTGATGGCATCCGCACTTGATATGACTGTATGACATCGTGTTACTGTTACATTAGTGACAGAATTATTTTAAAGCTTCATTTTCTTGTAGAATTGGGGACCAGGGTAACCCAGGTGCTATTTCGCTACCAAACTGTGCTAGGATAAAACTGTAATAAGTCACTATATTTGATGTTCAATCTTCAGGTCATTTTCTAAATTGCTTGTAATATAGTTTAATATCTTATCACAGGATACCGGTAGTACCGTACCTAATACAGTAATAGTTCCAGTGTTCCGACTATCATGACTATCAACGTGTTCAGATAGAGTACTGAGATACAATACTGTACCGTATCACAATGTTAGGGGTAGCCATATAACAAATGAATTTTTGTATGTTTTCCAGAAATTTTTACTTTTATTGTTAGGAATAAGTTATATACGATAGATATATTATAAGAATTACCATGGCGGAAAATGAGATAAATGAAGTTGTTACCATCCAACTACATAGGGGCTCAAGTGGGCTTGGATTTAATATCAGGGGAGGCAAGGACCAATCACATTTACCGAATGATCACGGAATATTTGTGACCAAAATTAGGGAAACTGGTGCAGCAGCACAAGATGGCACATTAGAAGAGGGTGATAAAATTATTGAAATTAACGGTTCCAACATGGAAAATTTGAATCATAACGATGCAGTCAATTTATTCTTGAGTGCGGGTGATGACGTCACTCTTAAAATATGGCGAGGTGCGGAAAGAATTCGAATGGATGAATATGCAAGATATCTAGATGAATTGAAAGCTGCTAAACAAAGAAAAGTAATCCTTGCAACAATGGGATCCGCTGTTTTGGTGTTTGCACTCGTGTATTATAGAAAAAATATCTTTAGTAGTCTCAAAGACATTGTCTCTAAACTCGGTTTTGGTTCTTCAGTTTAAATTAAAGACATCGACTAGTTCAACAAATACTTATTGTAAAGTAAAATTGATGAGAAAGAAATAATTAATAAACTACGACTAAGCAATGATAAAAACAATACATACAATATATCTGAAATAGAAATAATGTCTGCCAATCTCCTTCAAAATCTTCCAATTGTAGCCCTATTTTTATTTTGCTGGTAAGCACAAATATTCTAAGTGGCATTGGACTATTGATTTTGTTTTTATTTTTTAGTTAAGATGTTTTTTTATGAAAGAATAGGGCCACAACACAACAGATTGGCCTATATAGTAATTGGTCCATGCTTTATGGGTCTATGATTTCGAGCGATGTTCTGATTTGGACAACTTATGCAACCGAAATACATTGATTCAGTACACTTTGCAAGTAGATTTCTCAAATTTATTAGGCTTGTGTTCAACATTTTAATGAGGTGTTCCCATCCCCAGCCTGGCAATATTATATGCTTACTATCCCGATGTCAAAAATATAAACCATAATATGTTCTATTTAGTATTTATTATTAGCTTTGTTGTATCATTTATAACAGCTTTTGTAATAATTTTTTGCCTGTATATGTTAGGGTATTTTATTGATATACATTTAAATGCTTTGTATGTGGGCATTGGATTTTTTCGGATTTCTCGAAATAAGGTTCAATTCTTAGAAACTGGCAAGTACAAAATGCAAGGCAATTTTACAAAGTAAAATCTAGTGACCACTGCTGTACTGTGTTGCGAATTGCAATTATTAAAAATTTTAGAATATTTTCATGAATAGTGCAAATGTGTAAATTATTTTAATAAAATGATATAGTGGAGTAATGTTTCTTGCATCCCAGTTTGATGATACAATATGCCAATGAAGCATGCTCTTTAATTAATGCTACCAAAGATCCATCATACAATTTCTGTTAAAGTAACATACCGTACTACCGATTGTCACTTTAAAAAATCTTATGTGGAAGCCAAGCTCATAATATTGTCCGTTGAAACTGTCAAATATTCATTTTATTTATATACAAGAAACAATGCTTTTGACTATTGTTTGCAGGGTAATATAATTCAAATATACGTTATACAATCTTTGATTTGTTAATCATTTCAATTTAAAATGATATATTTAGTTTTAAAAGTAGAAGTCTCAAATGCAAATATATTTGAGAACTCTGGGGCCAACCAACACTTCAAGAATACCGTTTGGAATTGGGAACTGGAAAAATTTAATTTATTTTTTGTATGTTTGACCAATTCCAATGCTCTATTGCCAATTTTTTGTTTGAATGTATTTTTGAGTTGACCTGTGTTCTATGTTTTATTTGAAATTTATCAATGATTGTGTTGTGATTTTTCAGTTTTGATTTGAAATTTTAATTAAAAAAGTCATGGATGCGGCAACACTTGATCTGTGCAGTAAAATCATTCCTCAGTCTTATGTAAATCAAGGAAATCAAGCTCTTATTACTCAATCGAATCTGATAAGAGTCCTATTGGAAAAGGTGAGAAAAAAAACAATTTTTAGTTTATTTAGTTTGAGAAAAGTTCATACTCAATTCTGAGCCTTTTATAAGTGATTTTGGTTGACAAAAATTTTGACTCAAACCGCTATTCTAGATTGGGCGAATTTTTGGCTCAAGCTTCCAAGTTCGAATGACAAATTTGGACCACAAAAACTCTCTTTAGCTTGTACAAGCAGATTTGAATATTTTGAGATTGAGAAGTAGTCGTTCTGATTTCAAGCTATGACAATGGTATCAGAAAAGTAGAATTTTAGCATGCATAACCTATCTCTTAGTGATTTTCATGGCATATGGGACCCTGTTTTCGACAATCAAAAAAGCATCATATTCTTACCGGTGTAAATCCTAAATTATAGTATTATGAAAATCAACTATCGCCCAAACCAGATCTCTGCTGGGTGTTGATGAAGAGAAAGGCTTCATCACACCATTATATCCTGGGACGGTGAGGTTGACGCCTTACACTGTTGCCATGGGACGGTGATCTATAATCATTAAATTTCCTTTTTATCATTTTCACACACAGTGGTGAAGGATAGTGTGTATATTATGCTTATTAACTCATTATAGATGGATGTATAGTGAACTAACCTTTATTTCATATTAACATTTGACAGAAAAAGATTCCAAGGGATGGTTGGAAGACACAAACTGTGGAGTATATGTTGTCACAATTAGCTTTGATGGATAGCAATAATTTCATTGGTAACTGTGGTGTGGGAGAAAGAGAGGGAAGAATCTTTTCAGAGACAGTTTCTAAAAGACATTACAGGTTTATCAAGTCTGCATATTGATTCTTGAATTTGCTATCAATTTGATGAAGAAAAGAAAATGTAAAGTTGTGTTACAATTTATACAGATCTAAGGTTTTGAAGACAAATAGATAAAATTCTGATTCTTCAAGTCTTGCACCAGTTGCTACTAGCTAACACATGATTCGTCTCTATAATTCTATTTAGTTTCAATAACTCTTAGCAAGCCCATGCTTCCGAAAATGAATAACTTGTAACTAATCCCATACCCGACATTGACTGGTAACCAGACGAGAGGCCGTTCGTTGTTTTCCATATGATTAAATCGTGTTATATGTTAATACTATCCTATACACTTCCATAGTTCAATAGCATGTAATCTTTCTCAGAGATCAGTCTCTCCCATTCCTGAGATGAAGCAATTTGCTGAAGTTACCAAAATGATTTTTTTTTCATTTTATTTTGTAAAATATTTATTTATAATATTTAAATATTTTATATTTGGTTCATTTTTATATATAATACATTTTAAGAATATATATAAATATATAGACTATATAATGAAGATGGGTATGTACTGGTTCAATATTTAACAGGCTTTTCTGCTATGAAAACCCCTAGTATTACATGACTTATGCATGGATGTACGATCAATTTTTCCATTTATATAGGTTTGCTCATGGTATTGGCAGATCAGGTGATGTGACAGCTATCCAACCAAAAGCAGCAGGATCAAGTATTTTAAATCAACTGTGTACAAGTCTTATGCTTGATCTAATCCGTGCATCAGGTAGGCACCGCAGCTGTGTTCTATATAAAGAATGACCTCAAATAATTATACATTTTCTTGTTTAGTATTTATTTGGGATCTTGGTTTAATTCCTGGTCAATTGATTTTTACATGAACCTTACTTCTATATTGGAATAGGTGTTAGCAATCCTTAACCAGTAAGATTCTGGCCTTATAAAATATTTTTATAGATTCTTGTGACTAAGAATCTTGTCTGCACAAATCTTTTCAACTTTTATTTCAAGAGTTAATGAGTTATAAGCCAGTACATCCCTTCGCTAATGTTTTTCATAAGACTATCAATGAGATTAATATCATTATATATCCAACTGATTAAAAAATAATCATAAATAAAAAGGAAGTGTGTCTTAATAATTGGTATTCCTGTAGTATGTGAACCAAGATGGCGGACACTGTAACGAAGTATGTGTACCAGGTTAGGCCATAATTTCAGTTACAAATACTACGGGAGTCACTTGGCTAGTCCCCAAACTCGTAATAGAACTAAAATAAGGAAAATTGGAATAAAATAGTACTACACTTCGGTGTCCGCCATCTTGGTTCGCATACTACAGGAGTGGTTATTAATTAATCCTCTTCATAGTTTCGTTCTTTCAAGGTTTATAAGTTTTTATTTAACTTTGTTAAATACAGTTTATATTACGTTTTCGTCAGTCTAGGTGTGAAGTCTACATCAGATTGTATTATTGTTCCTACGGCAACTGGAATGACTCTCACTTTGTGTTTTCTTACTTTGAGAAGTCTAAGACCTGGGGCAGAATATATTATATGGCCTCGTATCGATCAAAAATCATGTTTTAAGGTAAATTCTATTCTAGGATTACTTGCAAAGAACTGTAACATGTGTGTTTTATGTAAAATACATCTTACAATGCTCCCTTCTGCCGCCCCCTTGCAACACTTTTTTCTCCCTTCAATTCTAAATCATGGTGTTTCAATGAGACAGATGAGGTTTGGGATATCCAAAGAGTTTTTAATATTTGAAACATTCTGGCTGGGCCTGGGTATAATCCTAAATCACCCCGAAAGTCGAATAATCCATGGTTCTATATCGACTTACACAATAAGATATCATCTATCTTTAGCAAAATTCCGCCCTTTTGCACATCTGGGTTATTTGGAAATATTAACTTTTAACTCTGAGCTTATTTGACTACAACATTTTTAGTATACATAAAACTAAATAATATTTTTTAATGCTTATAAACCTAATATATATAATCATAGCTCTCACCTGGACCCCATTATGGGCACACACCAAACTGTCAGCAGTTGTTGCATAGTGATCCCAATTAATAACTAAGTAGACCAGAAACTCTCAAATCAAACCTTATCTATTTCTGATTATGATACATATTGGTATGAATTATTGTCTTAATTTCAGTCCATTATATCTGCTGGATTTAAACCTATAATCATTGAAAATCAATTAGAAGGAGATGAGTTAAGAACAGATCTTGATGGGGTTGAAAAGGCAATCACAGAATATGGTGTTGACAAAATATTATGTGTATTTTCAACAACATCGTGTTTCGCACCAAGAGTACCAGACAGGTATTATTTTTTGCATCAACGAACAAGTTCTGCAGTTACTTCCCTTCTAAAAAATTTGTATTTTCTAGACTTTGGGAAATTTGAAATAAATAGGCAAAAAAATTCATATTAGGAATTCGGATAGAAATTGTCATCGTGTGCAATGAAATGATGATCCAATGTTATATATCAGTGTTCGGCAAACTACAGTCCACTGGCTGCAATCAAATTTTTTGTGGCCTTCGAGCGACTTTACTTTTAAAGACAAAAGTTGCCCATGAATATATTGTTATCTGCGCTGTTGTTTGTCTTGTAGTAATTAGTCAAATATCGCTACCGTTAGTTAATTAACACAGAAAATAAAGTTGCAGGTGCGTCAAAATTTGATGTTTAATGTGGCAATAGTTTTTTTAGGCGAAAATTAGTGCGACCCTCTTGCTACCTGAAATGTGTATATTTGGCTCAGTAGTAGACCACTGTTATATGTAGAAACATATAAATGTTCAAAATGAAGTTGATTCTTAGATATATAGGATAGGATTTGTGTATTTTTCCTGGGGGAGAGGAAGATAAGATGGCTTACACATATGGTGAACCATGACCTCTCTCAGTTGCTAGTTCATGTCGGGTATGAAAATAGTTGAGCAGTACCAGTTTTTTTGTTTCTTATGCATAGACTTGATGGTGGAGGAATCTATAGTTGACCAGCGGTTTTGTGAACAACGCTAGAATTCTAGAATATTTTGGATACAGAAATCACCAATATGTATATACCGGTATCTATATTTCAATGATTATGGTGATTGATCATTCGCTGGTATAGGATCGGTAATATGGTTCTAATATTTTCATGAAATAAAATTCCTCAATTTGTTACTTGACAAAGATAGCCAATATTTATCTATTATTTTCAGGTTAGAAGAGCTTGCAAAAATCTGCAAATCGCATGATATTCCACATATAGTCAATAATGCCTATGGTTTACAATCATCAAAATGTACTCATTTAATACAGCAAGTGAGTCATATTTTTATCTGAAATTTATATTACAATACTCATTTGGTGTGTTCCCTTTTTATTCTACTGATACATAGAGCTGTGAAAATTACTAATTGAGCTTCTTAATTGTTTATTTGCCTCTGTATTGAGTAACTATTGATAGGCACCTGAATGTTTAGCAAAGTGTTCCTCATCTCAGTTTCTCAGAATTGAATGGTTAAGGGAGCTGCGCCTGACCAGAAGTTATTCAATTTCCGGACTCTGGAAAAATTGATATCCTTCCCAACAAACATTGTTGTGGCACTAAAAAAAAACAGCTTTGATTCGTGCTTGACGAAAATTTGGGTTTAATTTCGGGTTGATGGAAGTTTACAGTCTGGTTCCCGATTCCAATTCTAAAAAAAAATCTTGTCCCAAAAACTTTGATGTAAGCAATCCTTTAATTATCTATTAGGAATGCTCAGTAAATTTAATGCTTCTGGTTTTCGTCAGGATATTTAGCTTCAATTACTACAATTAGAAATCTGGAGTTCCGACTAAGAAGATTTCAAATCTGACTTTATACTTTGGCGGGTACCGGGGTTTAAAAATACAACTTGAATTCAATATCAATAATAATATACCAAACTCTAATTTTGACCCCACAGTATTGCCGGTAATCGACCTACAGACAATTATCTCCTGATGTTTCAAATTACAATACTGTGAACCAGACGTTCGTTCCTGATGCTTAACTTAAGCCTAAAGTGTATATTTTCTAGGTTTATATCCTTCATTCAATTTAGGCGAGCAGAGTTGGAAGACTTGATGCTTTTGTTCAAAGTTGTGATAAAAATCTCATGGTTCCAGTTGGTGGAGCAGTAATCGGTGTCATGAACAAAAATTTTGGTGATAAAATCGCTAAGACTTACGCAGGTCGGGCATCAGCAGCCCCTTCACTTGATGTTTTAATAACCTTACTAGAAATGGGAATGAATAAATATGAAGCTTTGTTGAAAGAAAGAAAGGTTAAATTAATTTTATAGTTACTACGATTGGTAGAATTCTGTATGATCGCCTTTCCCTGTGGTTACTATTGTTTGATTGTAATTCTTCTTATTTCAAATATTGGTCACTCATAGCTTTGCTGAGAGAGGTTTCTGCTTTTCTTCTGAGTGAGTGCGCATGACTTTGGAGCAAAAAATATTACACTATCTTGCGTTGTCTCCTGCTAATCTAAGCGAAAGAGACTGAATGTTGCATTAAACACTGCTACTTTTATGTTACTGAAAATATTAACGAATTACCGGTAATGGTTGTTCTACCAGGGCTAGGAAGCTGGTTTGAAATCACAATGGCTCCAGCTGTAGCATAGAAACTTCATATTTCATATCTAATTAATATTTCACCATAGTTATTTCCAACACTTATGAGCCTCACAGGCACTATAATATTCTTAGGTCTTATTATTCTGTAGGTTTGTAGTAATGTCCTATTAAGCTCCTATTTTATACTTGGGTTTTCTTTACTTCAGGAGAACTACAAGTACCTAAAGGAAGAATTAACCAAGGTTGCTACAAAGCACGGTGAAGTTGTGCTGGAAACTCCACATAATCCTATATCAATGGGTATTAGTTGTAATGATGCAATTTTTTGTTGCCACACACAAAACTCCTTTTTTTGATTCTGGGAATTGTGTATATAGAAAATAATTTTTATTATTAATGAATCGTACCATTCTACATCATTTGAGAAAGTGTTGTGTAATTGACACATAAAAGTGATATTCGGAGGTTGAGAAATGTGAATCATGTAGCATAAAGATGTAGCGTTTCCACTTTATTGCTATGTTTTTTCGACATGAATTTATGGATTGTAATAAACCAGCTGTAATTTTTAAGAGATGTGAATCCCCCAACCCTCCCGTAGATATTATTTGCTCTGTATTGTTAATATAGGCTGGCTTTAAGCCTCTATTTTGGCTTTTGATATTAAAACAATTTATCCTTTTTAGCAATGTCTGTCTCACAAAACCTGGTGAACAGTCAGAAAAAAGATGTCACAGAATTGGGCTCTATGTTGTTCACAAGGTGTGTCAGTGGAACAAGGTAAGAGAATTTCAACTTTGTTTGTATTATTCCATAAAATTCGACATAAATCGTTGTTTCAGGGTAGAGCTGTAATAAGAAAAGTATGTAATGTTATCTGAATTGCTGTCAAACTCCTTGTACACACTTAATTCGACTTTTTTGACTGATTGCATTTGAATCCCTTTGTTATTTCACCCTTTCGTATATGTAGGTGAAAAGAAAGGGGTTTTCTTTTAATGGTCGCCCCATCATTTTCTTATTTGTGGCCATCAAAAATATTTTTCAATCAATAAAATTCATAACCTATATCAAATCTCTTCAGTCCATGCATTAGGAACATTTAAATTTTATCGACTATAATCATCATAACTATTATCCTACCTGAGCTGATGATTATCGGCCAATTTCTCAACCAAGATATACCGGTATATGAAAATCCAAACCTGTAACAAAATCATCACAAATAGCATACATATTTTGAATCATTCGAAAGGATATTATTGGTTATTTCTTTGTAGTAACCACTGTTGGGAATCTCGGGCCCCCCAAAAAATGGCTTACTGAGGAACTTTGTTTGTGAAAATGATTTCGAACAAGTCGCTGAATGGAATCAATTCCAGTGAAAACGATTTACCATGCGATCAGTTTGGTCGGGCCTGACTTGAGACCCAATGATCCAGGACTCATTGCGACTCGAGGATTAGGTCCTCTGGTATACACCACTTCATTTCCTCATTACCATTTTGTTTATAACTTCCCCTCTATTAGTACAGGGAAACTGGTATGATTATTTTATAGGGTTGTGGCTACCAATGCAACAAAGGACATTGAGGGGTATCTGTTCCAGGGATATGGATCTCATTGTAATAATTACAGAACAGCTTATTTAACTGCAGCAGCTGCAATAGGAATGACTAAAGGAGATGTTGATTTATTTGTGAAAAGATTGGATAAAGTTTTGACTGAACTTCGAAAAAATAACGTTAAAACTAGTTGATAGTCAAGATTTTTCAAAGGAGGAATTTCAGTCGTATTGCCGCGACGTATGAAAGCGTTTCTTACGCGTATGCTATGGTATAATTGTTTTAAAATCGATGAACGGGAGAGGGTAATTTTGTTCTATTGCTTATCTGAGGGTATATGGAACAGCCTTTGGTAAAATGAACTGCTGGCGCTATACCGGTGGCGTTTTGGAGATATTTCATACATAATTGGGTTTGTTATGCAAGTTCATCAACAATTTGAGCAATATTTGTAATTCAACTTCAGATAAATACATTGGTTATAATATGCAGTATGACTAATTTTATCGGCGGTTTTCGGCTAATTAGTTGGCTAGACTGTGGGTACATCGTCATTAAGAATTCGGGGTTAGTATTGCTTTGGTAGTAAACAAGATTCAGCTGTTGGACTGGACGCAGAGCGTCTCGCCAATTCGCATAACTGCTAAGTTTCCCCCATTATTCATGCATGGGTAAAAATACATATGCTCGTTTTGTAGCCCTGGCCCATATGTTTTTCAACCAACTCCTTAACCGGGCCTTTATTCAAACCGGCCCTTATTCAAGCACGGGCGCTTGTTATTTTCGATCGTTACAATAAAAAATATATTGTTATTTCCTGTTTTCAAGTATGATTTTAACGAGACTAACGAAAATTTTGACTTTTTCCACGCACCGCAGGTACATATCCGCAAAAGAAGAAAAGTTTTGCGACGCCCAGTTTGAGAACGATGGTGTTACGTAATCAGGCGCGCAGCCAGGACTTTCAAAAGGGAGGGGTTTCAAAATCGGAAATTCCAATTACCGTGTGTAACAGTCACGGCGATTAAGTGCTAGAGCTGGCTTTTCAGCGTATAATGATTTTTCTGTTGCTTAAATTATTCAATCCATGACAACTACGAAATTCTAAAATGTCCTTATATATTAATTTAATTGTGTCCAACGTAACTAGCGGTTGCGACTTATTACGTCAAAATAAAAACATTATTTCTCTAAAATACCACGGCGATCTGTGGACATAAAAATATGGCATAAGCTGCCTGATGTATTTAATTTTGATACGTATTTCTGCAATCTTGCGAACTGCGTTATAGCCGATAGAAAAATTTTAATATCTATATAAAACCCGTATAGTACAATTTTACTTCAAACAATGAAAATACATATAAAGTAGGTTATATCAGTAAATCAAAAATACATATTCACCAGCCCTCACCGCCTCGAAATCCACATCAAACAGTCGCCGTGGTAACGTGTTAAAAGAGCCGACTTTTTCAACGAAAAATGAATTTTCTGTTGTGCAAAGTAATCAATCCATGACCTACCTGTACGGACATATTTAAAATGTCTTGTTTAATTAATTTAATTGTCATCAATTTAAACTGTGGTTGCGTCGATAAAACAAGAGCCACTCTTAATCACCGCGGACGTAAAAATGTGCGGTAAACTGCCCGATTATATATTGTTTTGATCCATATTTTTGCTTTTTTGCAAATTCCACAAATTTGAGATGTACTTGTAACACTGACTCCTTTCAATCGCAATGCTGCCACTACGATTATTTTTAAGGATAAAACGTTCCGAAAAATCCGTAATTCTGCTTTAAAATCTCACGGATAAATTTTATTTTAGTATATATATACAATAAATTTTGTTCGAATGTACTTTACAGATTAATTATCTTATACATCATCACAAACCTGGAAAAGTTGTGTTCTCAAATAGGCCGCGAGCCGAGGCCCTGAAAAACGCCTAGAAAGTGAGTTTCGTAGCGCACATCAGGTAACTACCTGAAAATGATTTTAAAATGTTCCTTAAAAATTTAGTAACAAATATTGCCTTGTTCCCACTTCCAAAAGTTGCACGTTTTACGGAAAAGACGCTTTTACTACAAGAAATATGTTCTACGATCTGTCCTATATTCTCTACATTTTCGGCACTGAACAATGACTTCTGCATGACGTAACAATTGAATTAAACCAGCTGTTAGCGAGCGGATGAATATTAGTTATTTCTGCTCGACCTTGCGCTGAGTTGGGCAGGCTTTCCATAGCCCTGTTTAGTTATTATTAGTTAAGTTATGCTAAGACGTTGTTGAAAAATGTATAAGTAAATTATTAAACACTTGTAGATCCTTACCACGGATATGGGCCGTGAGACGAAACCATGAAAACGCCCAGAAAATGAGTTTCGTAGCGCACATCTGGTAACTAAATAAATTCTTCAGTTTTGTGTGAAAACGAACATAATGAACGCATTACAGCTTGTTCCACAATCCTGGTGCGAAATTGAATATAAGAGGTTCCCGGAAATTCAATAACCATAAGTTTACAACGCATACATAAGAACTACAATTCGAGAGCCCTACAGCACACTAACACAAATGTATTCCTGTAATGTTTTGCCTGACCAAAATCGGACTTCCTCAGTCAATCATAATTTATTAGGTAGATTACGAAAAATATGGCATACATGTAACCAACAACAAAAAATACTTTAATTGTGTGACAGGAGTCGGGAGTGACCTCGAAAGCAGCGACACCAACAACGCTGATTCACATTTGAGAATAAATTTTATGTAATAACCACAAGCAGTTTACAACAAGAACAGCATAAAAAGCTACATCCATTTTATAGAAGCTATCAAGTATCAAACGTATTTATTTTTAAGCAATGAAGTCACAAATTAACATCGTGAGCACGAAAACACAAATAAATCAGTTATTTCTCACTTAGAAATTTACCGCAAAAGTCAAGAAAATTAAATGAATGTACAATATGTACATAACATAGTGAACAGAAATATTACAATTTACAATTAATCTTTTTTTAGTTTATGTGGTTATGTATTTGAACAAAGGCAATAATATTTCTAGAAACAGGACTACGACACTAACAAATGTCCGAAAAAAAAAAACAAATGTATGATACTTATTAAATCAACTGTAATATCTAATTCACTTTCTTCTGAATTGTTTTCGAAATCCACTATCTCAAAAATCGACTTTTCCTCTATAGGTGTACTGTGATTTCTGCAGTCAATACAAAAACAAAAATCTGTGCAATTTAAGTTGATTTTGGCACACTTTCATAAATTATTTTGACTATTTTTCTTTGCAGTTTGCCAACTCAAGAACTGATTTGAGGGCCACATGCTTCTTCAGTGAATCATTGTTGGGTGAAGAGTATAATCCTTATGTTTGACAGTGTTAAATAGACGTGCCCTGGTATCATTTACATTCTTCATATCCTCTTCAAATTCCTCAGCTTTATTTATTAATACCTCGTTAACCTCGAAAGATCTTCATAGTCGAGGGAAAAAAATGAATTGAAAATCTCAATGAAGTCTCCAACATGAATTTGATGGGCAGTTCCAATTGCAGAAAAGTGCTAAAGTATTTCAATATGAATAGCCCATCTAAGCTGTTTGCAACTATTATGATTCTCATATACCTTTAAGCTTCAAGACTTCTTGTTTAATCCATTTTATAGCACTGATAGCAGCAGGGATCAGAGCCTGCGTTAGGTCGGATTGGTGGAACATTGCCGTTTTCTTTTGTAGTACAGTATCTAAAATAAGGAAGAAAATAATATTTGGAGCAGCATGATTTTAAAATACCCCTAAATACTAACTAATACCTTGAATACATAATGCATTTTATCTGATGTACTAAATGAGCGTATATATGCTCATTGCATGTTCTACAGTCCAGCAGTGTTTGCATACCATTACTAGACTATATCTACACTAAATTTTGATATATCACAGTCTGAAATGTCCTATGACAGTATGAGTATGGACTATAGACTATATTTTGAAACATCAACTGTTTGTCTACAACTTCATTTCTCACCTCTCAATCATTTCCAATGCTACCTTTCTTTCCACTCCGGCATAACTTATCATTGCTTCCCAGGTTCTTGTCGACTCTATGAATTTAGATTTAGACCAACCGACATTAGTAAAATTGATTAATTTCTTCTCTTTCACACAACCGTGCATTACAGAAACAGCCATTCATTTCTATTTCCAAATATGCTGTGGCCTATATAGTAGTATAAGTCTGCTGAATAGTCAAGAAGAGTCATTAAATTAATCATAAACATTTCATGCAAGCCAGAAAATATCGTTGTTTGTGACATATTATTCTAGGTCTACCCTTCCTTGGAGTTACCGCACCGTACCTATTTAACAACGTCTTATGAGCTAGTGCTCAACTAAAATTGCTATTTATGGCAAGGATATACAAGTGTTTAATATCTTACCTATACTTTTCAACACCTCCTTAGAATAACTGGACTAATATTACCGGTAACTGAAAAAAACTATGGAAAGGCTACTCAACGCAAAAGCGAGCAGTTGAGTACATCTGATATTCATCCGACCACTGGGGATCCACCTACAGCTGACTAACTTGACTGTTACGTCGTGCAGAAGTCTGCGTTCATTGGCCCATGATACCGGAAAAGCAGAGAAAATAGGACAGATGGTAACACATATTTATTGTAGTAAAAGCGTCTTTTCTGTAAAACGTGCAACTTTTGGAAGTGGGAACAAGGCAATATTTGTTACTAAATTTCTAAGGAACATTTTAAAATCATTTTCAGGTAGTTACCTGATGTGCGCTACGAAACTGAAAGATAAATGGCCTCGGCTCGCGGCCTAAAACTTGTTTAATGTTAACACGAACATTTTCGACGGCAATTTTAGTAAAGTAATGAATAACAAGATAAATCCCGCTCACAATTCATCTTCTAAACGCTGATCGAACATAATGTGTGCCGTAGGCAGACGAAATTTTGCCATTTTTAATGCCTAGAGAAGCGTTTTTAGACTGTCGCGGGCCTCAACAACACTTGTTTACGGTTTTATTTTCAGTATTTTATATTGCCGCTTTTCAATCAAACGATTTAGGTCGTGGATTTATTCACTAATTTGTCTTTAGAATCTCGCCGCCGATGAACGTATAATAAGTCTCACCGGATGCACAATTCCGTCAATTCCGTGCGAGTAATAAAATAAAATAATTGTTATCGTGGTACAAATTTGTGATTTAGAGACAATAAACGTCAACGAGAAGGCGTTTACGGCCTAAATAACACGTCACAACGATGAAAACATTCGGCGCCGGCGCCATGTTTATTTCGATTTCCCGCTGAAAGGGCAAACAGACAAATCAACAAAGTTAAAAAGTATTTAGGGCGTGCACACCTCAAACAGCACGAGGTAGTGGAAAAATGCACGATATGATTCCGCGTAATCAGTGATCGTAAAGAACCGGAGTGCTGTAAA